GCCATATCACGGTTTGGGGGCAGGAGCCGAGGAGCTGCTGGTGGGCTCGCGGATAGCACGGGGCCACTGGCTCTGGCGCGGCTCTGTGCCGTGCGCGATTCCCAAGCAGGTGGAAGCCGGCTGTCCCGTGTGCTGGTGCTGCCAAGGGTCTGTGCAAGGCACTTGCGCTCGGCAGTGCTCTCTGCGCGCGCTGTGGTTCTCCGGCACAAAAGCCAGGGGCTCCCAGTTAAACAAAAGCCGAGCTGCTTTCCCCACAGCACGGCCATGCCGGCCTGCCGAGCTCCCCGGGGTGTTGGAGCAAACACCTCTGTTCAAACTGCTCGTTTGGTGGGTTTGCGGTGCCACCTCCGCAGCCCAGTGCTCTGTGCCAGCTCCTGGCAGGAGTCACCGCTGCAGACCCCTGACCCCCATCGAACCCGAGTTGTCCCCTGAGCCCCTCGTGCGCCGTTTGGGTAATGAGGCAGAGCTGCTGCCTGACCCTGGGAGGCTCTAATTAAAAGGGGGAAGCTCTGCGTGAGGGGATGCTCCTGGGAAGGCTGGCCTCTCTCATTAAGCCCTAATTGGCTTTATGCCACTGGACGAAGAAGTGATTTATTTCCAAGGTCTCCCTGTCCTGTGCTCCTGCCCCCAGCCCCGCGGGGCAGGGCGCAGGCTGTTTGCCTGGTAGCGAGGCTTTGCACAGGAGTGTGCAAACACACTCCTCAGCCTGCTCTTTGTTTGCTTTCAGAGTCCTCCCTCTCCCGGGGAAGAAACAAAGCCGGCCCTTGCGCGGGCTCCGGCGTGGCTGCGGCGCCTTTGTGGCCAGCTGCTCTCCGAGAGGCTCATGAGACCCAACGGGGTTCAGGCGGTGGTTCGGGGCATCGTGGAGGGAACAGGCGGTGAGTAGGGTGCTGCGAGGCAGCTCTTGGCTTCCAGGAGCGCAGATTAAAAGAGGCTGTGATGATGTGTCTGAGATGTTTCATCCCATGAGAGGACTGGGAAAGACAGTGCTGTCAAAGCCCCGGAATGGGAAACCGCTTCCGTCAGGCCAAGCTGACGTTGGAACGTTTGCGCAGATTTTCCCTCTCCCCAACTCCGAATGCCTTCTGACCACAAACGCCCTTAGTTCGGGGTACACCGCCACGTTTGAGGTCCAGACTGAAAGCCTCCGGATTAATTTAGTCTGTTTATGCCTCCATGGGGTTGCACCTTGTGTGCGTAGGGAGCATGGTTTGTTCTGAGGAGCTGCGCTGGTGCTGGTCCAGTGGGAGCCGTGCTGGGCACTGGGCTGTGAGCTGCTGCAGGGCTCAGCAGCCTTGCTGCCCTGCTCTCCATTTCCTGCCGGGACAGGAAACTGTTGGTCTCCAAAAGCTGAATCCCAAGGTTTTTAGTGCCAAAGCCTCCTCTGGCCAATACCAACCTGATGACACCGTCCAAGCGTGACCTCCCTCCACCTTTTGGCTCATACACCTACTTGTGGAAGTTTTTTTCCAATATCAAGGGTCTTAGTAATTTTCCCCCTTCTGTCATTAAAGTCAGGTGTCACCTGAAAGATCCTTGGTTTAAAGAGAGTAAAAAAAAGGTAGAAATCCAGTTTTTGGCCAGAAACATCTGGCTTCAGCCAGAAGCAGCCCTTTTGCTGTCAGCCTGAGCTGATCTTGGCTTTGTGCTGGCGGAGCAGGTGGCGCTGGTGCTGAAGCAGCAGCTGTGGACTGGAGAAAATGCGATGCGGTTGCAAAGATCCTGGCCTCCTGCCCGCAGCAGTGCCTTTCCCTCGAGGACTACTACGGACTGGTATGCCCCCAGGTAGGTCTCCCCTCCTCGCCAGCTCTGGCTGGGAACGCGGAGCCAACTCCTGGCTTGGAGAGTGTCAGGACTGTCACTTCTGCTTGAGCGTGGCCTGGCTCGAGCCAGGACAATGTGGAGATGTCCCGCTGCCAGTGCAGCAGAAAAACGTGTTTCCACCCTACTCTTGAATTTTCCATCTTTGATTGAAATGTTGGATAACGTTGCCTGATCGCACGAGCTGTTCAGCACTGTGCTGCGAGCAGCTCTCTGCAGTGGAGCTCCTGCTTCCAGCCTTTGGCCGTGGGAGTGGTGCAGGCTCTTGGTTTGAGCCCAGAAACGCATCCTGCCTTAACGTGTGCGTAGGACTGGCTCTTCCGTATGCGGAATGTCGTGCCAAGTGTCCAGCCAGGCAGCGTACAGGAGGCTCCTCAGTCTCTGCTTTTGGCTGCAAGGAGTCGGCCTGCCCCCCTCCTAAGGGGCTGCTGATCTTTGTTCCTTTGTTGCCGACTTTCCTTCCAGATTCTGGACTTGCTGCACATCCAGGACAAACAGACAGCGCGCCAGTTCCAGCGAGTGGCCACCACGACACTGCTCACCATGGCGAAAGAGCACCCTCAGCTGGCAGAGGAGCACCTGCTCCGGCCCCTCTTGGCACCCCTTCTGCGGTGCTCGGAGACAGCAGGTACAGCCGGTCTCTGCCGAGCCCCACGTCGGAGAAGGGTCTGATTTCTCTTCTTGCTGGTCTTTTTGTTTTTCCACCAGAATTTTCTCAGGGCTGATGGCTGGGCTGCTGAGGGTACAAGCCCAGCTCTGTCGGTTGTGAACATGTTTGTGTGGCTGGTTGCACCGTATTTACTAGCACTTGAGTCAAATTACTGTAGCGTAAGAGCCAAGTGGAGGGGCTTCTGCAATGTGCACTTGGGGAGACTCCAGTCGGACAGTCTCATTTTGGGCTTCCAGTCGGAAGCCGTCGGTTCCCCACACTGACCAAACAGCTCTCTGGGGAATTATCCATCCAGAAGTTGTGGTCTGCTTTGATTCGCTTGTAACTCTGTGGAGTTTACAGCACGGCAGTGATATTTAGCGCCGCTAACGAGGGCTCATCAGTTCCTGTGTGCCCTGATGGGGGGAAGGCAAGAGAGCTGTCTAAGTGCTGTGGGGTGCTGGGCGTGATGGGGTTACCGTTCTGCTGGGGACCCCTCAGCGTCTGGGGGTGCTGAGATTTCTGCCCTTTGTTTTCAGAGCTAGCAGTGGAAGATTTGTCGGCAGGGACCGTGCTGGTGACAGAGGCAGAGCTCAGCAGCTGTGTGGAAGATGTGCTCAAGGTATCGTGTCTGATTTGGGCCTGAGGGTAGGCAAGAAAACTCCTCTAAGAAAGTGCTGGTTTGAGACTTTCTGCGCAGTTCAGTGTGTGTATTGGACCGTGACAAAAACCAGCATCTCCTGCAGTCGTGATGCTGCGGCGAGGCCAGGAGCTGCACAGAATAACCTTGGCTGCAGCACTGCAGCTTTGTGCTGGTTACCAGAGGTGCTGCCTGAATCCTTTCAAGCGTTCTCCCCCCAGAACGTCTGCAAGATGGCAGCAAGCGCATGTTGTTCCCAGTCTCTGGGAAAAACAACTCTTTTCTGGTGTGTCAAAGTAAGGAGAGTCTGAGCAGTGGGCTGGTAGCCGGGAGTCTCCATGCTGCCCTCACACCCTCTTTCTCCATGGGCTGCAGCACGACTTTCTGAGCATTGCTAAACTGTGCAGCTTCTTCAGGAGCGTTGTGTCTGAGTGTGCTGTCAGAGCAGCTTCAGGGCTCAGGCTGTGACCGTAGAGCAGGTAATGGTAGTGCAGGTAACGGTAGGGCAGGCAGGAGGTGCTAGTCAGGAATATACTGGCCTGGCACGTGTTGCCTCAGGCTGTCAGTCCCTGTCCGAGATGATGCCACTCACCTACCAGCATCAGAGGGGCACAGCTGGTCAGAGGGAAGGACAGATCTTGGGGAATGCCGCACGCACGTGCTGAATCTTCAGAGGATGCCTGAGCTCTCCTCCCAGGCTGTCGCTGGCTCAGCCTGCTCTTAGTGCCTCAGTTTCCTTCCCACAGGGCATGGATAATAGGGCTGGTACTGAGCCCAGGGTGACCTGTGTGGGAGCTGCTCTCCCTGCCTCTGAGCTCTGCAGCAGGCAGCCTGTGCCAGAGTGCTGGAGTTGCGAGCCTTTCCAGGTGTCCCAGAAATGATGGACACACTGCTGCTGGTTCCCATGGGGTGTCCCCAGGGATTCATCTTCCCCTGCTGATACCTGTTGGGGGCTAAAGGCATTATGGTCTGTCTGGTCCCATTGGACAAATAAGGTAAATTGATAATGATGAGGAAAAATGAATATCCTGTTTTGCAGGATTCTGAGCCGAAGCCTGTGACACGTGGGTTTCCGTGTGCAGGAAGTTAATTTTAAAGCTGTGGGTGGGTAATCCTTCTGCAGCTGCTGCTGGGTGCCCAGCCACCTCCCCTGGAGCTGCTCTTGGTGCCCGAAGGTACCTGGAGGCAGTGGTGGGACCTCAGAGCTGGTCTGTGTGCCGGGCTGCCGAAGCGGAATTGCTGAAGCTCAGCAGCTCTCCCAGCCCTGATCAGGTGCTGGGACAGACCACCTTCTGTGTTAGAGGAAGCGTCTGGTGGGCAGGACGGTGCAGGTTTAGCACTTCCGTGGAACTCCTTCCTGCAGCGGGTCCCTCGGAGCGACAAGCCAGGTGTTCAGCAGTGCAGATCTTGGCTCTGGTGTTGCGGGGAGAGGTGGGGTCTGTTCTTGTGCTCGCTGTGAATGAACAGGACTTTTTGTGGAGGCCTCTCTTCTGAAACCTTCCCTCGTAGCTCCTTTTTCTGCCATTCCCGCCAGTATCACCAGTGCTACGTTGCAGGCTCCGCCGCCTGCCCTGACAGCAGCCCAGCTTTCTGCTGCCCGTTCCAACCCAGAAGGACATCTCCAGCCCAGGAATTCAATTTTAAGAAGCTGGTGACTTGCTTACTGGCATGCCCCTAGGCAGGCTAAGCTCTTAAGTGCTGTGATTGTTGTAGTATTTTGTGTAGTAATGATCTGTTGTAACTAGCTGGCAGGCAGAGACCGGTCTGGAGGGCTGCTCTGTGGCTGCGTTCACAATGCTGTGAGTGCTGGGGGCGTTTGGGGCGGATTCCTCCTTAATGGCAAAGCGCTGGGGGCCCGGCAGCAGCCAGATTAGCAACGGAGACTCCAGGCTGCTGCGAATTTGCGGGAGTTTCTTGCCTGGCAAGTGTCATTTGATGCTGAGTGGGAAACCATCCTTGGGGCTTCATCAAGGAGGCTTTGTGTACATAAGCTTCTGGTTAGGAAGAATGGCTCCACGGGGATTAGAGCAGGAAAAAAGGTCTGCTTGCATCAATACAGCTGGGCAGGACGTTATCAGGACAATCTCCTTCTTACCTGGGTCATGACACACTTCCTGGAGCAGGCACAAGCTCTTTGGTCTGTCCCCAGGGCACTTCCAGCCCTGCAGCGGGCAGAGGAGGTTGGAGGTGTGGGGAGTGCTCTGGTGTGAAGTGACAGCATCTTCTGAGCAGGTATTTCACCAGCTGACGCTGCTGGAAGTCCCTTGCCGCTGGAAATCCCTCGGAGAACTTGTGAATTGGAGATTGTGAAAAGACTTTGTTTCCCCACCCTCCTTTTCTTAAAACTAAAAGCTATGGAGGGTGGTAGAGCCTGCTAAAACAAGGACCTGAACACAACAACCCTGAGCAAACCCTTAGTCCAGCTGGGCAAGGCTTGGTATTTAACCATTTTCTAGACAGAGTTTTCCCAGCGCTGGCTGAAAGCGTCCTGCCTGGCTTTTAGTTTTGGACAATTCTGTGGAAAAGATTCAAAAGGAAACGCAATTTCGTAAGACTTTGCAAGCGCTTTTCCTGTGCTCTGTGGGCAGCAAGGTAGGGCTTGTGCACGGTGAGCTGGTAACAGCGGCTCGCCTGGGAAGGGAGTGCTGGTTTCGTGGAGGAGGGCATTGACAGGGATTTGGGAGGGTGCTGCTTGGGATTGAAGGGAGGAGCGTGGCCCTACAGCCTCCGCAAAGCCCCTGCAACCCACTGGCTCAGCTTGGCACACGTCAGCCCAGCTGCCCTGCTAGGGACCGATCTCTGTATTTGAGATTTGGCTCTAGGTGCGGTGTTTCCGTAAAGATTTGCCAGTTCAAAGGTGCCTGTTGCATCTCTCTGTAACGCAAGACTTACCCCTAAGCAGCAGACTTCCCGAATAGCTGGCTGCAGTGTTCCTGTAGCTTGGAGCCGTGCTGTGGTTAAGCAAATGCTAGGAGAAAGATGGTGCTGAAGGCTGCTTTTAGTACAGCATATGGCATAATCAGGGAAAACAGGCTCCAGACTGAAAGGAACAGAGGCTGAAAACCCTCTGCCATCCTCCCTGCCGCTCTGCACGCAGACATGCTTTCTGTCCTTCCCTTTGCCTTCCCTCTGCTCCACGCAGGTGTTTGACTCTCCTCCCCGTGCCCTTCTCTCCGTAGGTGTATGTGGTTGGAAATGACAACTCGAGCCTGCTGCTGGGATCCTTACAGTCGGTCCTGGGAGTGGTTTTTTCCCTCTATTCCTTCGCCAAGCAGAATGTGTCATACTTACGGTAAGGAAGGATTGTGCATGACGACTTCTGGGGTTTCATCTCCGTCCTGCCCACCTCTAAAGGACGTGCTCTACATGGGCACGTACAGAACCTGACACCAATTTTCTCTCCCTGAAGAGCTCTCGTTCAGAGTAGGCAGTAACCGCAGGCACAGGCACGGGACATGACCTTACTGGCAGACCTGTGCCCGAGGAAGCAGTTCTCGAGTTAGTTTTTATCTTCCCCAAAGCCAGAATGTTCGGCGTAGAGGCCAGCCGGCCCCACAGGAGCCCTGGGAATGTGGGTTAACTCTTGGTGCCCACCTAGGAGCAGCGGTCATGATTGCGCACAGAGATGGTGACGCTGAGACCTGGCTGGGTGTCGCAGGGATGTGTGTACCAGGGATTTAGAAACGGGATAAAAACTGGATAAAACACCTTGTTGGAAATACAGGATTGTTCTTGGATCTGGGATCACTCTCTTCTGATACGTGCAGGGTCTGCCTCTCAGCAGCTGCCCCCTGCGCTGTGCCCACCTGCCCCTTGGCTGACGTACCATGGTGAGCACACGTGTGTCAGTCGTGGTGGCAGGGACGGTGGTGACCAGGTGTTGGCTGTCCCCTCTCCTTTCTCCTCCCCGGCTTTCCCTGGACTGCTCTGAGTTTGGGCCAGCCTAGAAAATACCCTCCTGGTGGGTTTACACCTTGCTTTGGTGGTACTGGTGTGTGGGTACTGGAGGCTTTCCCTGCGAGGTCTGTGTAGACACGGCCTCTGCTGTTATTAAAGACATCGTTAATCACTTCAAAGAGGAGTGAGTGCTGCGGCACGTTCGTGGAACAAGCCAAGTTAACACTGCTGCTGGGTGAGCACGGTCGCTGCTCGCTTCTCTCTTTGCAAAGGAATTTGGCAGGGATAGCTAAAACCACAGCTGCCTGGAAGTGTTCCGGTTTCCAGACCCCTGGCACAGCGCTGCTACTTCACCTCATTAACCTGCATCTTTCCTTGGCAGGGGTTTCCGTGCCACCTTACAGTGCTCCCTGTCTCCTTCCTCCTCTTCCTTGGCACAGCTGGTGGCTCTGTGCTTTGTCATGTTGGCGTGAAGCATCCGGCACGGCGTGCCGAGGCTGTGGGGAAGTGGCTGTCCTTGTACAGACACGCTGTTCAGACGGAGCGCTCCCTTCCTCGCTGGGCTGAAATCCCGAAGGACCCAGATCCTTCCATCTGGGAATGTCAGAAGGACAGCGTGTGCTGCTGGTCCCCTTACAAACTGACACAAATGCCTTCAGCTGCCAGAGCTGTCAGCACAGAGCATCCCAAGGAGTGTCTGTAGCCTCTCCAGAGCACTCGAGTCTTTTCCCTCATCCCGAGACGTGGTCCCGTTGCAGTGCTGGTGTGCAGGGAGGGGCACAGTGGGCAGAGCAAGGTCACCATTGCCTTCTCTCTCCTTGCCAGCTCCCCGTGCCAGGAGATCCTGCTGTGGTTCTTGGAGAAGTCGGAGCGAGAGGTGTCACTGGCCGTGCTGGAAGGCTTTGCAGGGCTGAACAGCAGCGTGCACGCTCTGCACCCGCGGTGCCGGTTCTGCGCGGGCAGCGAGGGTGGTGCCACCATCGCGGTGGAGGAGACCATCAGGTGAGCACTGTCAGGGCAGTCCCCAGACATCATTCAGCACGTAGGGATTTTCACGGCGTGCCTGGCAGGGAGAGCTCAGGTGAGCATGGGGCTGCCGGTGCCGTCCCACCACAGTCTTGGCCCCCCAGCCGGCTGCGCCAAGCTTGGGCAGGCAATGCTTCCACTCAGCCTCCGGGTTCCCTGTGCATGGCGCAGAGCTCCGACTTTCAGCCCTGAAAAGCAGCACGTTCCATCTGAGCGTCAGTGTGAGCTCTCTGCGTGCTTTTCCTGAGTTCTGAGTTCTGCCTGTGGGGTGTCTGGGAATGGGACATGTTCCTTCAGTCCCAATGCTCCCCAAATTCTGCTTCAACCCTCCAGCCCAGGCCTGTCTTGTGGCAGATCGTGGCTGTGCGGAGCAAGTGGAATCCTTTGGGTCGAATCCCTCATCGCAGCAAGGACTCTAGCGATGCCAGTGTGGTGGAGCCAGCAACTAAGCTCCCCTCCTGCTCCTGCAGATGGTTTCTACAAGTAGAGGCAGACCGTGGCCATGTGGGGAATAAACTGCAGCCATTAGATTCCAGCCACGCAAACTGGGACTGCTGGGCACCGTGACATTTGGTGTAAAGCGGGGTAGCTGGTCGCTGGTGGTACAAGCCCCAGGCAGTGCTGCCAAGCGGGCAGAGTGGGCAGCTCCTGCCCAGGAGTGTCCGTGGGGTGGGTGTGCCGGGAGCCGCCTGCACCCCTACCAAAACTCTGTACAAATACCTGTGTTCTGTTGCGTTTCCATCTATTTCTGAACTGAATTAGAAGAAGGTCTGCACTGGTTAAACTGAGTATACTTCAAAATTACTCCTTAACAGCCGTGGCTTTGCCCATGTCTGTCCTACTTTTATGGCTCTGACCGCTGCGTGAATTAGCCAGCGCTAATCCCGCTCTTTACAGGACGGCTGGATTAAACGTGTGTTTTGTGCTCACAGTTTCTGTTAATGTTACTGCTTTAATGAATGTAGGTTAATTAATAAACTGAGTGCGTGATCACGTAGACCAAATGAACCGAGCAATAGTTTGGCTCAGCTGCCTCCAGGCTCGCGCTTTCTGGTAGTGCTGTGGAGGGAGGTTTCCCAGGGGAGGCAGGATTTCGGAAGGTGAAGGGGTTTCACCTTGCCCTGCAGTAGTTTCGAGCCGGCCCTGGAGGGGGTCTGGGTACGATCGTGCTGGTGACACAGTGACCTGTTTCAGCGATGAAGAGGAGGCTCTCTACCAGAAGGTTTCCTCGGAGCAGTGCTGCATGGAGAACTTGGTGGAGCTCTTGTCTCACTGCCAGAAGAGC